CTGACTTTGAGGCGAGGGATGGAGGGGCTAAAATGCTAACTCAGTTCTAGGTTTTAGGATTCATACCTGCAGCAGACCTTTAGCTGACCAGATGTCTTGTCATGGAGCAAATGGACTCTTGGGAAATTTTGACTTAATGTTGACTTTTTCCAGCAAAGACTTTTAGTGAGTCCCTGACCAAAGGTCAACAGTGAATCAAATCAGGATGCCTCTTGCTTCAGGGACCATGAATATCCACACCATATCCACCACCATCTGGCCAGAAGCTATTGTTAAGCTATCGGTAGCTTGCTCTGTACCAGAGTGTTGCACAGACAGACAGACCATCACACTGACTCAAACTCTGTAGGCTCTGCCACTATTAGGACAGGAAACAGTCATCATGCAGAATTTATCCATACTTATTATGCCTTACACTCTATTTTCTGTATGAAATCTTAACTCATAGTTTAATGTTGTTTAACAAGCACATGCACAAATATTAATGTGGTTGTGAATGACTTGCTTTCTGTACACTGGTTAGTTTCACCATTTAAATTACTTATTTAAGTCACCAACAAATGAAAGGAGACACTGAGGTGCATTAAATACGATTAACTGCTATTGGCCCAATCAAATCACGCTGCACTTTCAAAATAATGGGATGTGACATAAAATATCCTGCAGAAATCTACTTTGAAGTACAGAGAGTACAGTATTTCTCCTAGCAGCTTCCTCTGCAGAGCATGAGCAGTGCGAGCGCCGATGCCACTGACCTATATTTTTTATTTCCACAAGCTGAGATGCTGCACGAGAGGTGAGGGAGGCTGACAGTGAGCCAAGAAAACAGACCTGAGAGAGGGGGAAGGGACAGTGTGGAGCTTAGTGGGGGGCTGCATGATCTGGTTTCAATATGGAACACACAAAGCAGGATGCTTGCTGCATGCATGTTGTTTCATTCATCCATTCAAGATCCAATTCGTATCATATACGTTATGTATACATACATTTTATGAGCGTCTGTATCGGAACAATACAAATACAATTAATAATTTAATCTTATACTCCCCATGAAGTCAAAACTGAGGTTTAAGTGTTTTTGTCACTGATGTCTTGTGCTGTACATCGCCTATATGCCATGTCATTTTTTAGGTTCTTAATGGCATACTAGAGTTTTTTGTTGATTACTTATTACTTACTTGCTGGGGTGCGTATTCTAATTTTGGGTCCAATGAAATGCTTTCTTGTATCCTTGAGCAAGATACTGAACCCCAAATCGTCATCTGTGTGTGAACATAAAAGAATGAGTTAGTTTCTGTTAAAGGCGCTTTACAAGTACGGTCCATTTACCATTTTAAGTAGCAAGCTGCAACCATGCAGCTAACCTAACTGACTCAGGCCCAAGATCCAGGAGCTAGATAAAGCCTTCTGCGTTTTTCACAGCTACCGCAGTTACTCTGGCACGCTGGGGTAAGCGGTATTCAGTTGGTTGCACTGCTACTTCACCGCTAGATGCCACTAAATCCTACACACTGGTCCTTTAAGACTTCTATCATTACAAACCCCAATTTGTCTGGTGGGACAAT